ACATTTCCTACACAGAAAGTTCCAGTTTCAGATTGTCACCCCATCCCACTATAATTCTGTGATCAAACCACAGGATGGTCAGTACCTAGAGCTCCCTTTATGGTCAGCCCATGTCCCACCGGATTTTTATTCTGACTTCTTGTAGTTGTATTCCTGGCTCATGCCTTGTGCTATCAATGTCCTGGCCAATATCTACCCCACGACCAACATCCATAAAACAGGTAATCCCAACATTGTCACATTGCTATTTATGGGAGGTTAACGTGTACAAAAATATCGTAATGTGAAAAATGCAGGAACAAGTGACTATATTTCTGAAATACTTTCTTGGTTGTAAAGTGCTTTGGGATTTCTTGAGGCCATGTCAGATGCAAAAGAAATGCAATACTATTCTTTTTTCTTTCCTTTGCCCCTTTGGTCTGCTTTCCTTTATTTCAAGGTGTTGGTTAATTTTTTGTTTCTTTTCCAAATCTTCTTGTGTTAATCTCAATGGACAGGGTAGCAATTATAATGTAATGAGCACTCCTCCCCTTCTTAAAAGAGCCCCACTAATAAACTGTGCCAAAAAAAGACCTAAAGGTTAAATCTTAAAGGAAACCGGATCAAAGTAAAACTCGATTCTGGTTGTTAAAGTGCTGCAGGGCCTCACCATCCCCATGGAAGTAGAGAGCCTTGAGTGTAACAGTGGACAGTGTGCTCTGTCCCCAGGGAGCCCCATGTATGGACATGAGGAACAGAGGCAGGCAAAAGCCCTAGCTGACCACTTGCTGCCTGGACCTGTTGATGGCCGCACTGTCTAGGCCCGGGAGCTGTCATATGCAGAGAGCTTCTGACCTGCCCATTCCCTTTCCCAGCTGAGTAGGATTGAAGCGAAGCCAAGGATCCCCTTCAAGTGAAAGAGGGACTACCACCTCCCATACTGCTCATGGCCTTGAGACACCAATGTGCCTGTTACCTAAATATCTATTAGCTCTGTGTTCCATGGACACTCTCACTGAATACAGGTCACCAACCTCACTGGGTTCCCTTTTCAGCTATTACCTGGCATGCGCTAAGTGTTGTAACTTGTTTGAAATCAGTAACAAAGAGTTGGAAATTGGTTTTAAAAAATACTAAATATATCAGTTCACCTTTGTGTCAGAAGTGGTCAGGGGTATTGTGACCTACGAGTCAATACTTGGCAACACTGGTGCCTGGAATCGATTGACTCCAGATGGGATTGATAGTGAAGGTGTATGAGTGAAGTGGTTTGTAATGGCTCTGTTCTATTCTGGCAGTGAGTCAAGTGGAAGTTGCAATGTGATAGTGAGCTTGTTTCACTATCCAGTCACTCACCTTGAGACACAGTCACTGGTTAAAGTTCTTACAACATCTATTTTTAATAGATTCACACCAACCTTCATTCTCTCTTCTCTCCTGTTTCCCTGGGTTAACCATTTCTGTGCGACGGGAATCCCCATGGAAACAGTTTGGATGATGCGTATTGTCAGTCAGGGACCCCATTTCCAAGTTGGGCTCAATCTCATTGGGCTTCATTGATGCTCCATGTCCCCAGTCCTTAACCTCTCCCCAATTCCTACCCTTTCCCCACCCTCTCCCCAGTCACCAAGCTCTCCGCATTCCCCACCCTCTCTCCAAACCCCACTGTCACCCCATTCCCCAACCCCTCCCCGTTCAACACCCTCTCCCCCCTCCCAAACCCCACCCTCTCTCCAATCCCGACCCTCTCCCTTCTCCCCACCCTCTCCCAATTTTCTCAATCAATCCCATCATCTTTCTGTTCTCCCTGCCCTGTCACTCTTCCACTCTATTGCCACTTTCACATTCTGTTTATTCTCTCTTTGCCCCATCCCTACACTCTCCACTCTCCTCACCTACTATCACCTTCCCTCTCCAGCCCCTGGACCACTGTCCCACCACTAACCTGGAAAGGTTCTTAGAGCTGTTCCTCTGTTCCTTCTAGGCTGTGTCTAGTTGGTGTGTTTTGTGCCAATCCTTCCCTAATCCTCATTGTGTCTCAGTGCTGGCAGGTTCCAGCTGTACTTCTGTATCACCTCAGGACCTACCCTTCGAGGGCCATTTGGCAACTACCTACAGCTGGTGAACAGCCTACTGTATGGGCAGTGCCTGTCAAATACTCAGGGGTCCCAGGAAGAATGAGGTGCAGTCTCCTGAGCAGCTGGAGGAGATCAGAAAATGATTTCCTTTGTTTAGATTAGTTTCGCAAATGGGGGTGAGCAGGTAGTTCAACTGTGAGAGCCCTCATTATTGAGCAAAGTCCTATTGCAGTCTCCCCTCTCCAAGTTGCTTGCAACAATTGTTGAAAAGAGACTGAGGAGCTGGTGTTCCTCCAGGCAAGTAGGACACTAGAGGGTAGGCTCTTTTGTTTCTCAGTTGAGACAGATTGTGTGATAGTGGAAAGAGGCCCCAGTCTGGTTTATCAGATTCTCAAACAGAACTGTCTCATCCAGTCCCACCTCCTGGCTTACTCTTTGTTTCTCTTTGCTATAGTGTCTGCAGGTTGTGCTCAGTCCTCATTGAGGCTGTGGGGATCCATCCCTACATCGGGTCATTTGTTCACTTCCTGCACTCAGTATTAATGGTTAACCATGTGTTGTGCCCCTGTGGTCATGTATGGGCCAGGTCTGGTTGGAGAATTCCCTTCCCTAAAAGCTATTGGTCCGTTGATCAGGTTTCTACAATAAACCAATAGACGTATGGTCACTTCACTAGTGATCAAATACTTGGATTTATTCAGTTCTGGGCACTAGGAGAGAAAGCAGGAATGGAGAAAAGGAACGGGAAAAGTTCACCAGAATAGAACCAGCGAGAGAGCAAAGAAAGGTTTGAAAAATGAATAATCTTTTTCATTGCAACTTAGAAGATCAAGTGAGAAATGGAGGGGTCTAGGGGCTGGAGAAGGTTACAGGGCTCATAAATTCTGAGAGATATAGTGCACGGAGAAAGACCCTTTGGCCCATCAAGTATGTGCCAGTCAAAACAAGCATTTAACTTGGCCCAAAGCCTTGTATGCCTTGGCATCACTAACATACATCTAAATGCTTCTTAAATGTTTATAAGGGTTTCTGCCTCTACCACCCTTACAGGCAGTGAGTTCCAGATTCCCACCTTCCTATGAGTGAAATTGTTTTTCCTCACATCTCCTCTAAACTTCCTGTCCCTTACCTTAAATCTTCACCCCCAGTCACTGATCCCTCCTCCAAGGAAAAAGTCTCTTTCTGTCTACCCTATCTATGGTCCTCATAATTTTATACATCTCAATCATTTTCCCCTTCATTCTCCTCTGCTCTAAGGAAAACAACCCCCGTCTGTCCAATCTCTCTTCATAATTGAAACTCCCCAGCCCAAGCAGTGTCCTGGTAAATCTCGTCTGCCCCAGAGCCAGTGCTATCATATCCTTCCTATAACCTTCATAGCCCTAACCCTGACTTTAACCCAGATTCCAGAACTGCACACAACACTCTAGCTGTGGCCTAACCAATGTTTTATACAGTTCAAGTATAACCTCCTTGCTCTTAAACTCAATGAGTCAGCTTGTAAAGACAAGTATACCATATGCCTTCTTTACCACATTACCTGTTTGGCCTGATACCTTAAGCAACTAATGTACATGAAGGGTGCTACCATTTATCATATATTCCCTTGGCTTGTTTGTCCTGCCCAAGTGTATTATCTCACATTTATCCACACTGAATTCCATTTGCCACATATCAGCCCATCGAAGATGAGGTACAAGGAAGGGTGTAGGGACTGGAGAAGGTTACAGAGATAGAAGGTTTGTCAGGGCTGGATGAGGTTACAGAGATAGCGACAGGGGTGTATGGAACGGAGGAGGTGACCGAGATAGGAGGAGTGCAGGGGCTGGAAGAGGTTACAGAGGTAGGGAGGGGTACAGGGTACTGGAGGTGGTTGTAGAGATTGGGAGACATATAGGGTCTGAAGGAGATTACAAAAATTGGTAGGGGTGAAGGGGGCTGAAGGAGGTTACAGCGATAGAGAAGTGTGTAGGGTCTGGAGGAGGTTAGAAGAAATAGGAAGGGGTGTAGGTTGGAGACATTTTCTGTCGTTCAGTTATTTTTGAAAGTCATGTAGAGACACTTCTCTCTAGAGTACTGTTTGCTTGTTGAAGCTGTCCTGTAGGTCACTGATGTTACTGGAATGAACAATATATTGGAATGCAAATGACTTCCATGACCTCAGTCCCGGATGTACATATACAGAGAAAGTTTGTATTTATTAAGCTCTTTTCACACCCCAGAACACCCAAAACATTTTATAGCCAACGAAATGTTAGTGAGTTGCAATCTCTGGTGTGATGCAGCAATCCATTTATGCATAGCAAGATCCCACAAACGGCAATGGGATAATGGACAAGGATATCTGTTTCAACAAATGTTGTTACATTTAGCAAGAGTGAAGGATAACTGTCCCATTCTTCCTCCAATCATACTGTGGGCTACTTAAGCCACAGCTTAATGTGTCATTTGGAAGACAGCACCTTGAATACTGCAGTAACCCCTCATTACTGAGCGCAAGAGTAAGCTTGGTTCATTTACTCCAATCTCTGATGTTGGTCTTCAATGCACTGCATTTCTGACACGGGGCTGGAGTATGGGGTATTGCCCCACAGTCAAGATGACAGCGGAGAGAGCCAGGGAAGTAAGGACAGAAACTTCTTTCAAGCTGTTCCGCTGACTTAGTCTCAAGTGAGAAACATTTACTCTCAGCTGTAAGGAAATTCATTATACTTCCCTTTTGGAATTGGTTGTACAATATAAACCAATGCCTTAGTGGGATCTCCTTGAATACAGTCACTGTTACCAGAAGCTGTAAAGGAATCTTTAGGCCTAGAGGGTCAGCTCCCAAACTTTGCTGGATCTCTTGTGTTAAAATGGCCTGTTGATTTAACCATTTCATGTTCTATTGCCAAGCTCTTTCTTTAAGGAATATTCTAATTAGACTTTACACACACACTGTAGGTCATGTTAATTGGAGATTCTGGCGTGGGCAAGACCTGCTTCCTAGTCCAGTTCAAAGATCGTGCTTTTTTAGCAGGAAACTTCATCGCCACAGTCGGGATAGACTTCAGGGTGAGATACTGCTCTGAGTTTTCTGTTTATTTGATTTATACATTTCCACAGAGGGAATTTCCAGATACCTCCTGAACTACTGAGAGGACACTGGATTACAGTAGGTTTGGTATCTTGACGGATTGGGAAAGAGGCCTTGGGTGGAAGTAAGTTCAGTGGAGACCAAATAAGATTTCCCTGATAAAGCAGGACTCCCTCCCTTGTCTTGCCTGTAAGAGGGCTCTGAATGGTGCATGCTCATCTCCAAAGGGAGCTCTTTCTGCCCAGACTTGTGAATGAAGAATAGACACTCTGGCTTTAATATACAAAAGCGATCTAAAGTAGTACCCACAGTGCTGAAGGGCTCCATAATCTGGGCCATACTAATCCATGGAGGTTTTTAAATTGGATTTTCAGCTCAGAAACAGTTAGTTATCAGGGGCTTGTTCTTAGGTTTTGTTTTTACGAGATATACTCAGTAGATAGACACAGTCTGCTGAGTACAAGTGCCACATATACATTGCCAGTCCAATAAAGCCTCGGAACATGTGTTACTGTAGCTTATCCCAGTTGTCTCAGTTATACGCTTTTGAGCTTCTTGCCTTTATTTGAACCAATTGACCTGTAACAAAGCTTCATAACATCTTCCACAAAAATAAAACCTTCGCCACAAATGATCATTGAGTCACTGCAAATGGAAAGTCTGAGATGTTGAATAGTTGCCAAGACTCCCATGACAGGGAGTCCCATCTACCCTGCAGTGACCATATCTGACAAGCTATGTACATTATGATCATTTACAAGCTTCTCAATTGCCCTGTCTCAGTGTGACTGGGACAGAGATGCTGTTCTCACACAGCCAGTTTGGTAATGGAATAGGATCACTGAGAGTAACTTACCAGTGGGGGTATTCAGAAGGGACTTCAAATTCCCTCAAGACCTGTAATTTACACTGTTATATTTAAATCTATCCCACGGGGTCTGAGCTTTGGGTCACTGGTCATATCACTCCTAAACCACTGGCCTTCCCAATATCTGTAAACCTTCTCCAACCATGAACTCTCACTTCATTTCCATAAGCTATAGGAGCAGAATTAGGCCATTCAGCCCATTGAGCCTCCTTTGCCATTTGATCATGGCTGATATATTTCTCAAGCCCATTCTTCTGACTTCTTCCCAGAGCCCTTGATCTCCATATCCCCTCTCCAGACCTCTCAGTACTCTGTAAGTTTCAATGAGATCCTCACTCATCTTTCTAAACTCAATCGAGTACAGACCCAGAGTCCTCACCTGCTCCTCATTGCACATACCCTTCATTCTTGGGATCATCCTTGTAAACTTCCTCTGGAACCCCTCCAAGGCCAACACATCCTTCCTTAGACACGGGGCCCAAAACTGCTGACAGTATTCTAAATGTGGTCTCACAAGAGCCTTATACAACTTCAGGAGTACATTCCTGCTCATGTATTCTAGCCCTCTTGAAATGAATGCCTGCATCGCATTTGCTTCCCTAACTGCCATCTGAACCTGCATGTTAACTGTAAGAGAATCCTAACTTAGGACTCTCAAGGCCCTGTGCGCTTCAGATTTCCGAAGCCTTTCCCCATTTAGTCTATTCCTCTGCTCCTCCTACCAAAGTACATTATCTCATACATTCTTACATTCTTATATTGCACTTCTTTGCCCACTCTCCTAGCCTGTTCAAGTCCTTCTGCAGCCTCCCGACTTCCTCGACAGTACCACCTGTCTCTGTAATGAATCCAGCCTCTCTTCACTGCACTGTTTGCTTCAATTTGCTTTGGAATTCCCTTCCAAAATCCCTCTGATGCACTCTCCCTCTTTAGGACCCTTCTTGTAAAATCATCCTTTTTGATTGCCCCCCTCCTAATTTGCCCTTCCTTGGCTCAGTGCTGGTTTTGTTGAGGCGGAACTTACTTTGAGGTGGTACGGGCAGAAACCCTCTTAACGTTTAAGAAGTATTTCGATACACACTTCAATACCAAGACGCACAAGCCTATAGGCCAAGAACTGGAAAATGGAGTTTGAATATATAAATGGTTGTTTTTGACCGGCATGTCAAAAGGCCTTTCTCTGTGCTGTATGACTCAATGGCTCTTTGGACATTTGAACCAAAGATTATTGTTGCAACAGTGGGAGCCACTACCATTGAATCTTCTAGTTTTGAATTTCTCGAGAGAGCTGAGTTGCTGGCTTTACAAATAAAAACCAAAAGAACTGCGGATGCTGTGAATCAGGAGCAAAAACAGAAGTTGCTGGAAAAGCTCAGCAGGTCTCTGTGAAGAAAAAATCAGAGTTAGTCTTTCAGGTCCAGGGACCCTTCCTCAGAACGGGTTCCTCAGTTCTGAGGAAGGATCACCGGACCCGAAACATTAACTCTGATTTTTTTCTTCACAGACACCTGCTGAGCTTTTCCAGCAACTTCTGTTTTTGTTTTTGGCTTTGCAAGTCTGAATCTCTCAGTGGCTGAGCTCAGTAACGGGAGGGGAGAAGCCTCTCCAGCATCTCCCCGCCTAACCCCTGTTGGGTCAAGTGACAGGAAACCATAAAGAAAATGAGCTGTAGTCAGTTTGAAACTGTTGACTCACTTATTGCAGAGGCCATAGCCTGCTGTTCACAGGGCCCCCACACTAACACAGGAAAAACAAACCCAAACCGTACGTGGTAATTCACCCACCAACAGACAGTGCCCATCAAAAGATGCCCGCTATGCTGTCAGCCAGTGTATTATCAGTGGTACAGCTGGAAGTGAATTGGCAATTTACTGTGGTATGTTCATCAAGGTCGCCAGAGCAACATCAACTCACAATTAAATAACAGCATCAACATAGAATACAAAGTCCCAAAGTACTTGACAGAAGTGTAACCAGATAAGAATACACACCAGGCAAAGAAGAAGCTATTGTGAGGGATAGAACATAGAACAGTACAGCACAGTACAGGCCCTTCGGCCCATGATGTTGTGCCAAACTTTTACCCTAATCCTGAGGTCTATCTAACCTCCACCCCTACCTTATACTATCATCCATATGCCTATCTAGTAGCCGCTTAAATGCCCCTAATGAGGCCGACTCCACTACCCTCCCCGGCAATGCATTCCACGCCCCTACCACTCTCTGAGTAAAGAACCTACCTCTGACATCTCCCCTGTATCTACCTCCACTCACTTTAAAACTATGCCCCCTCGTAATAGCTACCTCCACCCTAGGAAAAAGTCTCTGTCTGTCTACTCTATCTATACCTCTGATCATTTTGTACACCTCTATCAAGTCACCTCTCATCCTTCGTCATTCTAAAGAGAAAAGCCCTAGCTCTCTCAACCTTTCCTTGTAAGACCTTCCTTCCATTCCAGGCAACATCCTGGTAAATCTCCTCTGCACCTTTTCCAACGGCTCCACATCTTTCCTCTAATGAGGCGACCAGAACTGCACACAATACTCCAGATGTGGCCGAACCAGGCTTTTGTATAGCTGGAGCATAACTTCACGGCTCTTGAACTCAATCCCTCTATTAATGAAAGCTAACACACCATATGCCTTCTTAACAACGCTATCCACCTGGGTGGCAGCTTTCAGGGAACTGTGAACATGAACCCCAAGATCCCTGTGCTCCTCCACACTGCCAAGGATCTTTCCGTTAACCCTGTATTCTGCTTTCAAGTTTGTCCTTCTAAAATGAATCACCTCACACTTTTCGGGGTTAAACTCCATCTGCCATTTCTCAGCCCAGTTCTGCATCCTATCAATGTCCCTTTGTAACCTAGAACAGCCCACTGCACTCTCGACAATGTGACCCATCTTCGTATCGTCCGCGAACTTGCTAACCCACCCTTCCACTCCTTCATCCAAATCATTTACAAAAATCACAAATAGAAGAGGACCCAGGACAGATCCTTGTGGTACACCACTCGTAACTGAGCACCATGTTGAATATTTTCCGTCCACTACCACCCTTTGTCTTCGAAGGGTCAGCCAATTCTGAATCTAATCTGCCACATTTCCCCCTTCTCCCATGCCTCCTTACTTTCTGCATGAGCCTACCATGGGGAACCTTATCAAACGCCTTACTTAAATCCATGTATACCACATCCACTGCTCTACCTTCATTCACGTGTTTGGTCACCTCTTCAAAGAATTCATTAAGGTTTGTGAGGCATGATCTACCCCTCACAAAATCCATGCTGACTATCACGAATCAAACTGTGCCTTTCCAAGTGATCATAAATCCTATCTCTCAGAGCCCTTTCCAATAATTTGCCCACCACTGATGTAAGACTAACTGGCTTGTAATTTCCAGGGTTATCCCTATTCCCTTTTTGGAACAAGGGAATGACGTTTGCCTCTCTCCAATCTTCCGGCACTGTACCCGTGGACAGTGAGAACGCACTGGACAAAATCCACTCCATCTAAACTATTACAACTAAAATGTTTCCAATCAATATTTGGAAAGTTGAAGTCACCCATGACTACAACCCTGTGACTTCTGCACCTTTCCAGTATCTGCCTCCCAATCCACTCCTCCACTTCTCTGCAACTATTAGGGGGTCTGTAAAAAAACCCCAACAAAGTGACTGCTCCTTTCTTGTTCTGGACCTCAACCCAAACTGAGTCTGTCGACATATCATTCTCGAACTGCCTGTCAGTAGCTGCTATACTAGTCCTGACTAGCAATGCCACTCCCCCGCCTCTTTTTCCACTCTCCCTATTTCTTTTAAAGCATCTAAATCCCAGAACTTCCAACAACCATTCCTGTCCCTGAGTTACCCAAGTTTCTGTAATGGCCACAACATCGTAGTTCCAAGTACCAACCCATGCTCTAAGTTCATCCGCCTTATTTCTGATACTTCCAGTATTGAAGTATACACACCTCAAACCATCCCTGTGTCCACAATTACGCTCCATCGACCGCATTTCTTTATAAACAACCATGGTTGCAGGCTTGGTCAGAGAGTTAAAGGAGCAGTTTAAAAAAGGTGGAGTTACTTTGGTAAAGAATTTGTTACC